GTCAGGTGCCGAAAGCCCATTCACACCGCTTTGCATTATGCGGACCAGTCGTCGCCGAGCTGCGCCAAAGCGACATTTCCATCCACAATGCAGATATAATTGAGGAGGGCGGCGGCGCTCGAACGTCCGCGCAGGAGGGGGGTGGGGGAGAGTGGCGGCGGTGGGAGGGACCCGCATGATGCGCGCGGGGCCGAGCGCACGGCGAGCTGTCAGCGCCCGCTCGCCCGCGACCCGCCAACATCGGCCATCACATTTGATCGCGCGCCGTTTGGACGCCACACACACACACAAACACACACGCACCACGCCAGGCCACGCCGAGCAGCCAGGCCTCGAGTACGGATATATACGCGGTGACAGAAGAGGCACAGAATATTCAGCGGACAAACACGTAGCAGTAGTAGTAGTCGAAGGGCTTATCCAGTGAGAGAAATATTTATTTTTTTCGCGAGCAGCAATAGGGCCGTATGTGCACAAGTCGAGTCGAGGTCGAGACGCGCGGGGAGAGGCAGCAGCGTGCGGCGGGGCGTGGCGGGGCGGGGCGGGGCGCGGCGGTCCCCTGGGACAGTCGTGTGTCGCATGCCTGTCCTGACCCGGCATGCAGACCGACGAGCACAAACCACACAGTCCTCAACGACAGAAAAACACATTAAAGGATTGGCGAGATTCCGGCTCCGCCGCCTATGTAAGCTCACCTGCCCAAATAAGCCCGGATCCTGGTCCTACATGACCCCTGACCCCACCCCAAACGACCTCACCTGACCCCACCTCGCATATTTGGATCCGCGAACCCTCCATAAAGTGATCGCAATCCGCCCACCCAGACCCGCGCGTGCTATCGGCCGCCGGACGCTATCAGAACCAAACAGCAAGCCCCGCGGCTGCGCTCGACCCGCCCAGTCGATACCACACATGACGCGCGGCTGCGATCGCGAGGGATGCCGACCGACCGACCGACCGACCAACCGACGAACGAGAGGCGGCGGAAGCTTCAGTCATTCATTTGGACGACGTCTGGAACAATAAAGCAGCGCCCCGGTCAACCCGACCTTCGACCTGCGTCCGCGCCGGCCGACCCCAGCCAGCGGTCGACCCCGCCCGCCGCCCCTCTTCTAGACCAGACGACGGCGGCCCGCCGCGGACGTGCCTATCGCCCCTCCGCACGCGAAAAGATAACGCGCCGAAATGTACCAAGACTGCAGTTTTTCCCACAATAAGTTCCAAACACTGGCGGGGAGGGGAAGGCGCGCACCTCCAGACTGTACGGCAATGGCGACGGCGGCGGCGGCGGTGCTCGCGGCGAGCGGCAGCAGCACCAGGGTACGCGACGGGGTCCTGGGTCGCGGGTGACGTTCTGGCGGGCAGGGCCGCAAGCAGCGGGACTCTACACGTCGACCAGCATTCCCCTTCCCCGGGGCCCCTAATGGGCAGAAGTGGTGCCCCACCCCACCCCGCCTCGCCCCGCCCCGCCCCGCGGAGCCGACTGCGGACATGCAGAGGAATCAGCGCGGGTCATTGCCATGCACCATCACAACAGCCGCGCTGCCGGGGCCAGCCGTTGTCCGCGAGGAGGCCCGTCCGCGAGTGTCTCCGAATGCGAGAGAGAGACGGAAACAGCCGGGGGTGGTTGCGTAGCGCATCTCACCTAGGTACTCGGTGGCGGCGCCGAGGCCCGTGCACCCGAGGATGCAGAGGGCGCCCAAGGCCGAGGCCCAGGGCAGACGCATGCTGGCGGGGTGGAGGGCTCGGGGGGCCCTGCTGCGGCGCTACGGACCTCGCCCTAGCCCGCCCCCGGGCCTGGGCATCCTGCGCGGGGCTCGCTCCACCTGCAACAAGGACGGAAAACTCATCAGTCACTGGGTCAAAGAGAGGACGCGCTCCGGGGGCCCGCGCGAGGCCCGGTCGAGCCGGCTGCGGCCTGCAGCTCGACGGGCACCAAGAGGCCCGGTGACGTGCCTGCGGCTCAGGGGCTCAAGGGTCGGCGATGACACCCCCTCGCCGTCAAACCAGCCTTCCAGATGGTTGGCTTGGAGGTTAGCTCGCTGCCAGGGCCGAGCGGAGAGGAGGGGGGAGGGCAGGGACGGGACTGCTTGTTTGTGCGTGGGCTTCGCTCTAGAAAATCGATGGCGCGCGGTCTGGGCCGGGGCCGCGCGCAGCACGGGCACGGGCAGCACGGAGGCCGTGACAACACGGCAGGCAGCGCCGCGTGCGCCAGAGGGGTTGCCTACCTGCTCAACGGGGGCCTCGGGCACTCGCACGGCCGCGCGCACACGCACACACGCTCACGCACACACACACCACCGTGCGGCAGGGACGGGCGGCAAGCGCGGCAACCCGTTGCGCACCGCGGCGACTCGCCTCGCGCGCTGGTCTGGCTGAGCTCCGCGGAGCTGGACTCGCGCGGCGGCGGCGGCGGGGGCAGCCAGGGGGCGCCAGGGGCGCTCGGGACGCGAGCTCTGGCGGCGACCGCGCGAACTCTCTGCCGCCTCTCACCCGGCTGGGGGGAGGGGGTTGCGAGGGTCCACCACCCTGTGGCCACCTCCCTTCTCTATCCTCTCGGTTGAGCTTTCCCTGGGGACGAACCCCTTTTCTTTACCTACCCCCGCCGCCCCCCTCGCGTAGAGAGAAATTAACTCGGCCAATGATACACAGCTCTAGATCTGGAATCTGGAGCGGAGCAGGGGGGGGGGCGGTCTTCCCTGGGGTGCGATGGCTCAGCTGAGCGCCAGCGTTCCTGCCGGAGAGACTTTTGGCTTTTGGTCAATCCCTTGTGTCTGTCTCTACCCGAAGGGGAAAGTTTCCCCCCGTTTTGATCAGGATTGCAACAATTGACAAGTTTTCCGTTTCGTACTTGTACTTGTTGAAGTGGCAGGACACGCGCAGTGACGGGGCAAAGGGTGGAGGAGGCGAGATGACAGACCTTTAACTAGGTGGCTTTACGCAGAGATGTGTAGAAACTGCTGCACCGCACGAAGGTGTGCGGGCGGGCGGGCTGCCTACTCACAAGGGGCTCCGCGGATGGCACACTCGTCAGAAGGAGAAACAATAAAAACACTGTTGAAATCGTAGATGCTTTGCGAATAATTTAACAGCTACGCAATTGCGAAGGAACCGATTTTACCAGGTGGCTGATTAACCTTGCACCCTGCTATAGTCATGTACTGTACCGCATGCAGGAGTGTGGGCAGGTTCGCCCCTCGTCACGCACCGCACGGCGCCTTACGTCTCCGATCGGATAGGCAACCCACCCGCACGCCTGCATGCGGTTTACACAATTGCGCGGGCTTATTAGTCAACTACGATATTACAAACGGCTTCGCAAAGTTTTCTCCGTGCGAGGTCCGTCAGCTTTGCACGGTACTTACAATTCGTATACGATGCCGGGCTTTTCGAAACGAGGCGAGACAATTGCCACAGTCACATCTAAGTGTACCGGTCAACTCTTCCTTGTCCTGCTCCAGCGTGAAGCGGGCCGTCGCGGTGCTCACAGCGAAAACAAAGGCAATGCAAGGCAGGGCTGTGTGCCAAGTTCGGAGGTGGTCTCCAGTAGAATGTGTTTGCGGCTCACTTTCGAAATGGAGGGGAGAGGGAAGCGGTGTTCGAACGCAGCCCTCCAGCAGGACTGCGGCCGGAAGCGTCTATCAGACCTGGGTCCTGGTTGGGTCGGGTGGGTGAAGCCCAGAGGCAAGCCTAGAATGATAAAGAGCACCCTTCCAACCAAGTCACGCAAGACACTAACGACTAGAGACTCGAGTTTTGTCCTCTAAAATGTTTACGGAAAAATCAAACTGTTTGAATCTAGCCTGAGTAGATCATACATTTTTTATATGGTTTCCATACACGTCATCTCTAGTGATTGGTGTTCGCTACACAGCAATAGTGAACAAAATGGCGCAGAAAAGAATAATGTGAGTGTGAGCTTTGAGCTTCACTTGAGCTTCTACAGAAGGAAAATGTTGCGTTAAAGTTATTATATAAGCTTCTCTGGGGTAATACAAGCTAGATGTAGTGAAAAAATTTACTAAAAGCCATCTATTTTTAGAAAATTGTTACAGCACAAAAGTGATAAAACAATCATTTATGTTGAGGATGGAAACCAGGGCTTTGAATTTCAGGGAGGACTCTGTGTAATATTACGCATAATTTAAAACAATATGAGCTCAAGGGGTAGGTGACTAGAGCACTGAATCACTAATGTTGGGTAATGGCACCGAAGTTAATTCAGGACAGGAACAACTCAGAGTGTTTGGGTCTCGAAAATCATGCAGGTCAACTAAACTGACAAATTTAACTCAACGATACTGTCAAGGAGGACAAGGTACCTCTTTTGACACAAAGAGGTTATTCCAGATCTCGTCTGATTTTCCTGAGCTAACCAAATCCCCATTAAGAGAGATACATGAAAACTTACAGTGATAGCTAAACACGGGCACAAACTCAAAGAGGACAGAAGCTCCTACATAATGACCAAACCTAAAACCAAACATGAAATACTCATCCAGAGAAAGGGAGAGATCTTCTTTAGAACTTACTCACCCACAGAAATTGTATCACCGGCCTCTTGTTGTTTACAATCTCCCTTCTCTTGAGCAAAGCTTCCCTTTCCTTCATTGTTTACATTTCTCAGAAGTTTCTCATACAGTTCATGGCGCTGTAAGATTTCTCATGTACTACGCTGCTCATAACTTATCAAGATGGCGGCTGGACCGATCGCCGAACGAAATCAAGGTAATTTTATTTAAGAAATTCATTGTAATTTAGAAGGAAAAGTTTATTTTGCGTTATTTTGTGCTCTATTCCGTCTTTATTTAACTCTTTACTTTACATCGACCTTTCTTCTTGACGTTTTGGACAAAACTTAAGCTGCCGGCTTCCTATTCACTCGCGTTTAGTTCACCCAAACAACCGTTTCTTTTCATTAAAAAATAAACTTTAAAATGTTTATTAATTTGCATGTTAGTCTTAATTACTGTATGCTATCATTTTTCCAAAACTTTGTTGTAAAAATTAAGGCTTTTCGGTGCTTTCTCTATCCTAACCTCGATTGGTTGGTTAGTTTTGTTTACAAACTTCAGTCCGATCAATTGCACCGAATTAAACGTTATGTTTTGTAATTATTGTAATTCCTACCTCATTTTTGGTGTCTGCCTGGTTTGAAATGTACTTTATTGTTCTTTTTAGATGCCACCATCTATGTTGGTGGTCTTGATGACAAAGTCTCGGAAACACTTATGTGGGAGTTGTTTGTTCAAGCTGGCCCTGTCGGTAAGAATCTATCTCATTTTAATCAAATGTATGTTGGACTTCTGGTTCATTACTACAGTCTATTTTATTTGCAGTCAATGTCCACATGCCAAAGGATAGGGTCACCCAAATGCATCAAGGTTATGGCTTTGTCGAGTTTATGGGTGAAGAAGATGCCGATTATGCAATTAAAGTTCTAAATATGATCAAGTTGTATGGAAAACCTATTCGAGTAAACAAGGTTTGTGTTACTTTTCATGGCACATAATATTATTTAACATAATTTCATCTAAGTAAATAACAATTTACTCTGCAACTATTTATCAGGCTTCAGCTCATCAGAAGAACCTTGATGTAGGAGCCAATATTTTCATTGGAAATTTAGATCCTGAAGTTGATGAAAAACTTCTTTATGACACATTTTCTGCATTTGGTGTGATATTACAAACTCCAAAGGTGAGATTTATTTTATACCTGTCTTGTCTTGTGATGTTAAGCCAACATCTGTTAATTTAATTTTTCAATTTCAGATCATGAGGGATCCAGAAACTGGAAACTCAAAAGGGTTTGCTTTTATTAATTTTGCAAGCTTTGAAGCATCAGACTCTGCAATTGAAGCAATGAATGGACAGTATTTATGCAACAGGCCCATTTCTGTGTCATACGCATTTAAGAAGGATGCGAAGGGAGAACGTCATGGCTCTGCTGCAGAACGGTTATTAGCGGCACAGAACCCATTGTCGCAGGCTGACAGACCTCACCAGCTGTTTGCAGATGCTCCTCCTACAGCCCCACTTCCTCCTCCACCAGGCGCCATGCCCCCTCCTCCCCCTATGACTCCTATGGGAATGGCCATGATGCCTCCACCACCACCATCTCTAGGAAATATGTTCCCTCCACCACCCCCACCAGTCCCTCCTCCAAATTCCATGGGCATGATGCAGGGAATTCCTCCTCCACCTCTACCACCCTCAGGTGGAATGCAACCTCCTCCTTTACCTCCTCCTGGTGTACCACCTCCTCCCCCAAGTATGGGTGGACAGCCACCTCTCCCTCCACTTCCACCAACAAATGGACAGGCCAATTCTATGATGCCAGGAATGGGGGTAAGTTGAACATTCTTGGCCTCTCCCTGATCTGTAAGTTATGGTATGTTAAGATTTTGCTACAGTCAGGGACAATTATTTTACAGGCGCCTCCTTTACCTCCTGGAATGCCAAGGCCTCCTCAGGGTCCTCCACCCATGAGGCCACCAGGCTCAGCTGCAGGCCAGCCAGGGGCACCCCCTCCTCCACGCATGATGCCTCCACCATGGCAAGGCCAGGGCAATGGCTACCCTATGCAACAACCTTATGGCCAAGGACAATATCCCCAGGGACCACATGGTAAGTTTCATCTCATCATTCTTCATAAATTCTGTTTTAAACCTTGTTTCGTCATCATCAATGTAATGCTCATTTTCAGGTTGGAGACCACCTCCACCTGGTAGACCACCATTTGGTCGACCACCTTTCCCACCTAGAGGACCTCCACCTCCACCTAGGGGTATGCGACCACCACCTCCTGATGGTAGTTGGGAAGAGAGTGGCGGTTATGATGAAAGTGGAAGTTATGACTACGGTAGTTATTAGCTTTAGTGCTATTATAATTATACTGAATTCCAATTTTGTAAATAATAAAGCTTGGTTTTATTGAACCCTAATATTGATTATGAAATACCTTGTCGGTGAAATGAGAACAAACAAGATAATGAGTTGATATTTTTAATTAATAACACAGGATCTCAAAATTCAATAAACTTTAAAAGAAATCAGAATAGCTCACAGCACATACAGACAACACAAGAGAACAATAATTGTTAGCAAAGCAGTTGATTTGTGTTTATAATCCTTATTGACACTTTGTCAATAATGCAATAATAAATTATTTTGTTTAAAGAAAGGTGTTAAAATTAACAAGAAAGTACCACAAGCAATGGTATGTGAAAAACCAGATAAAGCCAAAAGAGCAACAATGTATTTACATAAGTAATTTAGGAATGACTTCAAGTATGACTACATACTGTGTACACAGCATTTTTCACCGAGAGGCAATAGATGCAAGACTTGACAAACTACTTGGCCCACTTGGAGCATTCCCACTAAGCTTTTCCATCTCTTCATCAGTCTGATTGCTCTTTAATTCTTGAAGTGTGTAAACAAATCGGTTCCACTCATCAAGGCGGGGATGTGCCAGTTGCTGGAATAAAAATTAATAGAAGTTTACAGATTTATCGTTGCACCAATGAAGCTAAACAAATAAAACAAAAAAAATATCTATAGAACATTGAATTTTTACTCACCTCACCAACATCATAAACCCATATTTTCCCTTGATCATCACCAACTGTAACATGAAGACCTGAAGGTGTCCATGAAACTCTATTCAGAGCAGGATTACCATCCACAATAGCAGAAACCATGGGAACTTCTGTGTCCTGATTAAGGTTCCATAAATCTAGCCGCCCAAAACCATCTACAGATGCAAAGAGAGCAGGGTGTGTAGGAGACCACGCAACATCATAAACATAATCACCATTGTCCTCAAAAGAGTATAGAGGCTTTGTTTCCTGGAAGACAAACATGAAATAGGAAGGATAAGATTTGACTTTTCAGAAATGTTTTAAACTGTTGTTCTACACAAAGGATAATATTCCAAACCTTGGTAGTCCATAGTTTAACAGTCCAATCAAAGGAAGATGTGAGGAAGAGATTTGAAAAATCCACTCCACCCTGGGCAGCATGAGACGAAATTCCAGTGATTGGCCCCTGATGGCCTTCATATTGTTCTGTGACCCCAGCTTTTGTTCCATGACGGCAAGCTAAAATAGAAACAATTGATAAATATAAAGAAAATAAAGCAAATTAATTAATTTTGAGCAATATTAGTAAAGATTGTGAATCACCTGAATAGACAGCTCCTTCTTCACTCCCAAGAATGAAATTGTTAACTTCATTATTGGGAAATGCCATACATGTTACAGCAACTGGTTTAGTCTGACGAGGGTGGTGCAAATCCATTGTTTCTTGAGGGCTGGAAAGCATATCTAAGCTCCACGAGCACAGACGCCCATCAGTTGATATGCTTAACAAGTTGTGTGCGTTGGGTGTACCAACAACACTCAAACAATACACTGGGTGCTAAAAATCATGCAAAATACATAGTTGTTATTACATTTTAAAAAGTGGATTAAAAGTAAATATATATATAAATTTTCATGCTTACTGTGTGGGCAGAAGCAGACAGAGGAGTGCGTTGGATTGGAGTGCGCTTTTGGACTCGGTTGTCCCAAACAACAATTTGACCAGAGTAAGTACCACCAAGAATTAAGTTTGGATGAAACCTAAAGATAAAATTGATTTAAAAAAGGGAAGAACACATTCATACCCACACATACATTTCTCCAATAGAAATTACCTCGCAAATGATGCTGCCATTACTGGTGATTGACAATGAAAGATGTACTCAGGAGTTGTTTTCTTAAATTTGGTATTCCACACAAGGCATACACCATCGGGATCATTGGGGGAGTCCTGATTATTCTGGTATGATGCTACAAGTAACTCTGGAAACTGAGGTGACCAATCCATGGATGTGACTGGCCTGTTGCGAGACCACCTTTCATCATGGAAAAAGCGGTTTAAAGAGAGACGCAGATTGGATTTGTCATCACTGCAAGGTAATAATTAGATTAAAAGCTGGAAATTGAGGGTAAAAAAATCAAATGAACTAGATACTCAAATGCACTGACCCTCCCTCATCCCCATCATCTACACCAGTATAATCAATGTAAATATCTGTGGACTCTGCTAAGGCTCTTTCTACAATGCGTCCTGCACGATCCACAAATCTTTGGAAGTCCTCTGACAAAACTATCATTTGTTTTTCTTCCTCACTTAATTCTCTCACTGAAATATAGCAAGAAATGGAATAAAAGATAATTATTAATCATCATAATTTAAATCCATCAGATATGATAACAATATTTTACCTTCTTTCTTCTTTTCTTCTTTCTGTTGTTCTAATGGTGTCTGAGCAGGTTGAACATCCTTGACTTGCGGAAGTCCATGAGGCAGAATCCCAGGAGGCAGCTTTCCATGAAACGCTCCACCGCCACGTCCACCATCCATGTGAGGTAGGGAGCTCTCTTCCTCTTCCGCTTGCAGGTCATCATAAGTCAAAACTACGGTGAATAAGGCGCTCCTATCTCGTCACACATCACTATGTACCCCAAAATTTGAATGACTCCAAAAATGTAAGTTTAGATTTGGAAAACAACCAGAGATTTGGTTTTGTATCCTTAATATTATCAGTTTGGTAATGATACTTGAAAGACTCAATTTCAATAAATAGATAGGTCCAATACCCCATATTTCATTCAGATACAGAAAACTGCAACAGCCTAAGATTTTATCGAGGTATGCAAAAATTGACCAAACAAAATGTACGCACAAGACAGGAGACATTACTAAGATAATAGAAGACTAACTGCTTAATCAATCAAAATTCTACTATTAAAAAGGTCAGCAACAAATATTCAAAGAAAAAAAGGGCAAATGGTGTACCATTTAAAATTTCAAATAAACAGACACATTTAAAAAAGAAGAAAAAAGTGCACTACAGGTTGACTAGGGTTTAAATAATCAAGTATGGTCCAAATATTTTCTACTTCGCACGCAATCCAACAGTTTCCAAATACTGCACTGTTTATGTAATCCTTACATACAAACAAAAGTGAAACACCAGATACTTGCATGCAGAACAACTACAGGAAAAATCATGCTAGGCCATGCTTCCATCTCCATCATTGGAAAAAAGACCAATATCCAAAATCCAATATAAATTTTTGGCCTGTGAGTGACTAGCTTTACCTGTTAGGTTTGATAGAATACTTAAAATTTAAAGTGAGAAGTTTTAAAACTGCAATATCATTGGAACCAAAAAGCAGTCACATACCACTTAAATAAATTGCATAACACAATTGTATATATTTAATTCTCTAAATTGCCTATTATTTCATGATTCAGAGTTTTACTGAAACCATAAAAGTAACCATCCTTGAATCTCTTGGAAGCTAGTGCACAACATGGTATGTAACAAAGCCAGCATGCTCTGACAAAACTTAAGAGGTT